CAGCAATGGCTTTTTGTCACAAACAAAGATCTGCTCGATGGGATAGTCACATATACTAATAAAATGCCAGCAAACATTTTCTTTACAGTTTAGTAAGCTGTCTTACAAGGAATCATGGTGGTGTAGGTGTTGGGTTGCTGACTGCTAGACCAGCAGTTCAAATCCAACAGCTGCTTTGCTGGAGAAAGTTAAGACTTTCTACTTCTGTAAAGATTTACAGCCTTGGAAACCCTATACAGGGTTGCTGTGAGTTGAAACTGACTTGATGGCACACAATCACCATCACCACCAAGTCCCCTTGTAACCCTACAAGGGTTGGTGATTTGAAGAAAGGGACATTTTGACTACCATTTCAGGGGATCCAGGGTCCTTATTTTGGAATTTTATTTTTTCCTAGGAATTTATTCACTACACCCACTGTTTTAAATTTATTAACTTATTATTTTTCTTAATATTTTGATTTTATATAAAATAATTTTATTTATATAAAATTAATATGATTTTAAATATCCATTATCTCTGTAGCTATATCCCATTTAAAATTTTATCTTTTATTTACTGACCCTTCTCCATGTTTTTCTCTTATTAGTCTTTTTCTGATAACTTGTTTTTCCTTTTTATTAAGTATGCTTTTCTTTTTGGATAAAATTGCTTAACAAATACATTGAAAGCTGTAAATGCCCACAAAGTACTGTTTGAGCTTTACATTTTGACAATAGATTTTTAGAAAACATTTTATTGTGAATTGAGTGAAGGTAAACTGACAAGATCATCAGCTTTACTTTCAACCAATCAGACTTTTGTTTCATCTCAATGATTACACTCCCTTCCCTGTGACAACAGTGATCCTGCTTCCACCCAATGGCTTCTCTTTTGCACCTTATTTTCCACAAATGAACAAAGCAAAAATATTTGATGTCTACATACAAAACAAAAAATATATTCATTTAAATGTCCAAAGGGCACATTTTGCCACAGACACACAGACTCTCTCAGTCCCTGGGCCTAGAGTCCTCTGCTGCTGTATCTCTCTATGCCATCGCCTCTGCCATCACTGCTGTTGCTGCTTTTCTGGATAGGGATATTAGATTTTTTTAAATGATTATTTAATTCTAAAAATTTCTCGTTTTATAAGGAGTCCTGGTATAGCGCTATGGGAAAAAGCACTGACCCACAAAGTCAGTTTGAACCATGAGGTCGGTTGTTCAAACTCATCAGCTGCTCCTTGGAAACCTTATATAGGGTCGCTCTGAGTCAGAACCAACTCGAAGGCACTTAACAACAAAAACCCTTAAAAAGATTATTTAATCCTAGGTTTAGCTTCCAAACATATGGGATTTAAAAATTTATTCTTGCTTGATTCATTTCTAATTTTAGTAGGATTCTTTGATGGAGTAATCTTTTATATCCTAATACAATATCAGTTTTTGCAAAGAGTCCTGTGTGTGCTTGGAAAACAAAAGTTTATTCTCAGTTTAGTGATGAGTCTAAATATGTACAGTAACTAATGTCTATATATTGCTAGTTGTATTATCTGTAATTCTGAACACATTGTTAACATTTCTAGCTACAATTGCTTAAGGATTCCTAGTGGCACAATGGTTATAATCACTAGGTTACTAAGCAAAAGGTTGGTAGTTTGAACCAACTAGTGAGTGGCTCTGTTGGAGAAAAGACTTGGCAATCTGCTTTCATAATAATACTTACAGCCTAGGAAACCCTACTCTATCATTAAAGGGTGGCTATGAATTGGAATCGACTTGATGGCACACAACAAGAACAATTGCTATGTATGCATGTATGTATGTCTCTATCATGCATTGCATTGGGCAAATAGGCTGCAAAAAGACCTTTTTAAAGTGTTAAAAAGCAAAGATGTTGCTTTGAGGACCAAGGTGTGCCTGACCCAAGCCATGGTATTTTCAATGGCCTCATATGCATGAAAAAGGCAGATAGTGAATAAGAGAGACAGAGAACAATGGATGCCTTTGAATTATGATGTTGGTGAAGACTATTGAATATGCCGCGGCCTTCCAGAAGAACAAATCTGCCTTGGAAGAAGTTCAGTCAGAATGCTCCTTAGAAGCCAGGCTGGTGAGGCTTCATCTCACATATTTTATACATGTTAGTAGGAAGGACTAGTCACTGAGAAGGACATTCTGCTAACAGAAGTTTCAGTGAAAAAGAGGAAGACTCATAATGACCTTATTATGCACAACAGAATAAAACACTGCTCAGTCCCGCACCAACCTCACAATTGTTGCTATGCTTTAGCCCACTGTTGCTGTCACTGTGCCAATCCATCTCGTTGGTGGGTCTTCCTCTTTTTCTGCCACCCTCCACTTTACCAAACTATCAGCAATGTCTCAAGTAGAGCAATGATTGTGAGGATGGCACCGGACCAGGTAGTATTTAGTTCTGTGATTCATAGGGTCACTGTGAGTTGGAATTGACTCTAGAGCACCTAACAACAACAACAACAGCATACTTAGTCCATGATAAAAATGTTCTCAATTTCCTTAAAAGCACTCTGCAGCTGATTTACCTAAATCATGATCCTAACTAGAATGTTGATGTCATCCCACAACTCTTTTGATCTTTGGTCTTCAGTGTTTAATGTATCAAATCTGTTCTTCAGATGATCTCTAAATTCAGGTGGGATATATTCAAGGTCATATTTCAGCTCTTGTGGACTTGTTTTCATTTTCTTCAGCGTCAGTTTGAATTTGCATAGGAGTAATTGATGGTCGCTTCCTCAATCTGCCCCTGGCCTTGTTTTCGCTGATGATGTGGAACTTTTCCATTGTCTCTTTCCACAGATTTAGTCAGTTTGATTTCTATGTATTCCATCTGGTGAGGTCCATGTGTATAGTCATCTCTTATGCTGTCTAAAGAAGATATTTGAAGTGAACAAATCACTGATTTTGCAAAATTCTAATCAATGGAGAAAAGATTGAAGTTGTCAAGGACTTCATTCTTCTTGGATCAACTATCAACACTCATGGAAGCAGCAGTCAAGAAATTAAATGACATATTGCATTAGGCAAATCTGCTGCACAAGACCTTTTTAAAGTGTTGAAGAGCAAAGATGTCAGCTTAAGGACTAAGGTGTGCCTGACCCAAGCCATGGTATTTTCAATAACCTCAAATGCATGTGAAAGCTGGACAGTGAATAAGGAAGACCATAGAAGAATTGATGCTTTTGAGTTATAGTGTTGGAGAAGAATATTGAAAGTGCCATGGGCTGCCAAAAGAACCAATAGACCTGTGTTGGAAGAAGTGCAGCCATAGTGCTCCTTGGAGGCCAGGATGGCCAAACTTCATCTCTCATACTTCAGACACATTGTCAGGATGGACTAGTCCCTGGAAAAGGATATCATATTTCGTAAGGTAGAGGGTTAGAGAAAAAGAGGAAGACCCCCAGCGAGATGGATTGGCAATGTGTCAGCATCAATGGGATCAAACGTGACAACAATTGTGAGGTTGGCCCAGGATCAAGCAGTGTTTCACTCTGTTGTGCAAAGGGTTGCTATGAGTGGGTACTGACTCAATGGCACATAACAACAACAACTAGGATCTTACATTTCATCTTATTGTTAGGTCCCTTGAGTCTGGCTTCACCCTGTCTGTGACCCCAATTTGTTAATGAGAACAGATCCGACTGTTTTGTGAAATGTTCCATTTTTGAGGTTTGTCCAATTGTTTCACACAGTGTTGTTATCCTCTGTATAGTGTTTTTTCCTTTTTGATGCTCAAGTTGTCTCAGTTTTGACCAAGGACTCTTTTCAACCTGACTTCTGAATCCTGTTAACTTGATCCCATTACCTGATGGGAGTTTCCTTTCATGCTGGCACAAGATGTCCCAGACCTACCTCTAGGTCCAGATCAAGAGTCAGTTATTTCTGTGGGGAACCCTATTTCCTTTTAGTGGTGGTGGTGGTTATGTGCTGTGGAGCTGATTCCGACTCATTGCAACCCTGCATAGTGTTTTTGAGGCTGTAAATCTTTACAGGAGCAGAAAGCCTCATCTTTCTCCCATGGAATGGCTGGTAGTTTTGAACAACTGACCTTGAAGTTAGCAGCCTGAGTCATAACCACTACACTACGAGAGCTCCTTATTCCTTTTGGTGGCATATGTTATAAGAGATGTCATGATCATCATTACTTCTTTACATCCCATTTTGCCCGTGATTAAGATTGCTGCCTCAGTTTTCATTTGATTAGGTTCATTTTGTTGTTTTAAAGTATTGTTGAGTCTGCTTTGACTCATAACGACCATGCATAGAGTTTCCAAGGAGCAGCTGTTGTGTTTAAGTAGCTGACCTTGTGGTTAGCAGTCCAGTGCTTATCCTACAGTGCCACACCAGGATTAATAAAACACAAATAGTAGCCAAACTCTGTCTGAAGCATTTTGTGTATTGATCTTATTTTATCTTTATTTGATCCTTTAGTAGTTAGAAACTATTATTTCCTTCATTTTATAAACTGGGAGTACATACCAAGAGAAGTTAAGTGAATTCTCTAAAAGCACAGATTTCTCAAGTTGCCATTTAATCAGTCTTAAGCAGTTGCTGTTGAGGTGATTCGAACTCATGGAGGCCCCTGTGCTGCAGAGTAGAACTGTGTCCGGTATGATTTTCAAATGAGACTTTTGGAAGTAGATTACCAGGTCTTACTTCTGAGGCACCTCTGGGTGGGTTAAATTGCCAACTTTTCTTCTGGTAGCTGAGCACTTAACTATTGTGCCAGCCAGGAACTCCAATCTCTGTCTGTTGTTGATGTTGTCAAGCACTGTCAAATTGGTTCTGACTCATAGTGACCCTTTATAAGGTTTCCAAGGAGCAGCCGGTAAGCTTGAACTGCTGACCTTGCAGTTCAAACCGACCTTGCAGTCCAGAACATTACCCACAGTGCCACACCAGGGCTCTGATCCGTGTCTAGAGCCTATGTTTTAACCACTGTTCTTTATTCTGTTTCTGATCTCATCAGATGCAGCATCCATGTCTGCTCAGAACCACAGCTCTGTGTCTGAATTCATCCTCATTGGCTTCTCCACTTTTCCCCAGCAGCTCCTACCAATTTTCTTTCTGCTGTTCTTGCTGATGTACCTGTTCACACTGCTGGGGAACCTGCTCATCATGGCCACCATCTGGAGGGAGCGCAGCCTCCACACTCCCATGTACCTCTTCCTGTGTGCCCTCTCCATCTCTGAGATCTTCTACACCTTCGCCATCATTCCTCGGATGCTGGCCAACCTGCTCTCCACCCACCCCACCATCGCCTTCATGGCCTGTGTCAGTCAGATGTTCTTCTCCTTCATGTTTGGCTTCACCCACTCCTTCCTGCTCACCGTCATGGGCTACGACCGCTATGTGGCCATCTGCCACCCCTTACGCTACAATGTCCTCATGAGCCCCCAAAGCTGTGCATGCTTGGTGGTCTTGTCCTGGGCTGGGGGCTCTGTTATGGGGATGGTGGTGACAACGGCCATTTTCAATCTCAACTTCTGTGGACCCAACAAGGTCCACCATTTCTTCTGTCACGTGCCACCCCTTGTGAAATTGGCCTGTGGAGACAATGTCTCCATTGTGGCCAAGGGTGTGGGCCTGGTGTGCATCACAGCCCTGCTGGGCTGCTTTCTCCTCATCCTCCTCTCCTATGCCTTCATAGTAGCCACCATCTTGAAGATCCCGTCTGTTGAAGGTCGGCACAAAGCCTTCTCAACCTGTGCATCCCACCTTATTGTGGTTGTTGTGCACTATGGCTTCGCCTCTGTCATCTACCTCAAGCCTAAGGGTCCCCACTCTCTGGAGGGAGACACCCTCATGGGTACTACCTACACGGTCCTCACACCTTTCCTCAGCCCCATCATCTTCAGCCTCAGGAACAAGGAGCTGAAGAATTCCCTGAATAAGACCTTTCTCAGCAAACTCTTTCCCTCACATTCCTGAAGTGCCTGATTTTGGGATGTGGTGGGTTGGAGTACCTCAGTCTTCTCATCTGTAAAATAGATGTAATTATGCTGAACTTGTCATGTATGTGAAACTTCATCTCCTCTTAGCTTGCTTGTCCTTCCTCCCTCCCTCCTTCCTTTGCTCACTTCCTTGATTTCTTCATTTCTTCCACCCTTCCTTCCTTTCTTGGTAATAATCATGCTGGTAACAGCTCCCAATTTTTGGAACACTTATCAGTTGCTAGAGATAATCATTGATCTTTTATTTTTAAATAGAAGCTTTATACCATACAATTCAACCATTTAAGGTATGTCATCCAATATGTTTCAATAGTCACAGATATGTACAATTATCACCACAGTCAATTTTGGAATATTTGCATCACCTTCCTTCAAAAACAAAACAAAAAAACCCACTGGAGCCCAGCTTCTCTGATTCTGTTCTGATGACTCCCTTGCTTGTTGGTAGAAATATGGACCCCTAAGTAAGCATGTTTTCTCTCTTTCTACCCTGCACCCCTCTGGTTGCTCTGCCCAGTAGCCATATGGGTCTGTCTAAAGGACTGATGTGAAAACTCACTTCTCTGTTTAAACATTGCATTTCTCTGAGAATCAGTGTAAACCTGTGTGACCATGGTGACAGAAAGGTCAAGTCAGTGAACTGTCTCCACATGATCTGCCAGCCCTCCCCAGCCCTTCTCTCTCCAGCCCTCCTCCCTCCATCTCTCCTTAGCTCTCTTGGATCTAGC